CAGGTTATTCTATCAGAGCTGAGAGTTTGATCAGATACACACCATTACTGAATTTTAATTTTACAAAAAAGCAGTAAAGATGAAGATTTTGCATTGCACAACACATGAGGCCTCCTGTCCACAGAGAAACTGGAACTACTACCCCTCCATTCTTATTAAAGGGAAACAATAACCCTCGGTAATTAAAATCAAATGTAACAGTTACAGTTAAAATCCCTAGAAGATAAGGCTCTATTTAAACCAGTGTAGACAGGACCCTCATCAAGCAGCAGTTATTTTGTCTAAACTTTATTTGTAATTATTACAACTGTTTATGATATGAATGTAAACACTGTTCAGTATTTATTCACTGAATGTTTTATTGCTATTGAGACATTCACTAGTGTTAGAGACTGCTGTAATATATGTTCTATAAAAATCTTAAAACTAATAGACTGCTGTCAGCTCATTTAACACGAGTATAGAACGATCTGAGTGACCGAGCTAGAAGCTGAAGGTTTTAAAAGATGCACTTGCTGAAGGAAATCAAACATTAAATCTTTCTAGATCAGTGAATGCACCTTTTTTAAGGTTTACCAGGTAACACTAATGGAGAAAGTAAACATTACAGCACATAAGCTTAATAAAGCACCATGAGCACATCCTTTGTGTAGGTTACATGTGACAGTTTTTTTCTATAATCTGTGAAGATGTTTACAATAGCAGCATAATGCATATATTCTACATGCATATTTCTGCTATGCTGCCCCTAAATTAGGTGGAAATTCTATTTTCAGATGCATAAAGGCTCCTGTTTGGCAAGGAACAACCCGGAAGTCAAAGTTCACTTGGGAAACTATTCCAATAGTCTTTGCCAATATTCAGTCTGTTCCAACTTAACGAAAGGAAATAATGTCTTAATGCCAATGTATCGGTGGGAGGGGATAAACAAGAGGGTTACAACTCTTCTAGATGATCACTTTCATGAAAAAAAAAATGTCCTAATTCCTAACTGACGGCTCCTGGTTTCTGTTACAGTCGCAGACTCCAAAAGATACAATACAAAATCAGATTGATCAAATACTTTGCAGTCTGTGGAATCTTACATAGTTACAAATAGAAGCTAACTCTAAATGTTCCCATAACAATACACAGTAGTACGGCCCTTCTGCTCATAATTTAAATTATGAATTATAAATGAAAGTAGGAAGGATAAAAAATATAAATACAAAGCTGTAAATATTAGATTTTAAGTCTAGATTTAACAGGTTTTAAACAGAAATTTAAAAGAAACCAAACCCAGTTTGGAGAAGTCAGCACTTACAAACCTGCTGCAAAAGTTAATAGACTCCTGACAAAAACAACACTTCAACAAGATATTCACCTAAATGTGTTTGGAGTTAAAGGGTTGGAAGCGTTTTTAAAAATTTCTATGTGGTTGCAGTTTTCAATGAAGACGTTTGAATAAAAAGAAAGTTTTTATTGTTTTTTCTGGTCCTGAATAAATAAGAAATGTAAAGAAAATCTGTTTTGTCTTTTTTGTTTGGTGTCAACATTAAGTAGAAGAAATGTCTCAGAACAGAGCAGTTACCCTCATGCTCTTTGCACTAAGCATAGAGACAAGACGTTTTCTCTAAATAATTAGTTCCCTATTACTGCTCATAACTTTCCTGAGATTTCTGTTTGGTGTTAGCTGATCTACGGATACAAAAACACTTTACATTTAACATCAAACATTTAACCGCTCTCTTACCCGTAGCTCCATCTTGTGCCAGGGCTGTTTCTTAGGGTTGATGCTGAAAATCTTTTTTTGTTTGGCCATTTCCACATAAGCCTCGTGACCTTGGCGGAAGTAGTACACCTGCAGAAAAGCATAAGTATGAATTGACTCACATCTCATTTATTAGGCATAAGTCAGTCTTTCTGAGTACCTAGATTTGGTGGAGTTTAAAAAAAATAACTGTGGCATTAAGAAGCAAACCACCGTAACAGAAATCTGACGCCGTTTTACCTCGTCTCCCATCTGAGGTATGTAGGGACATCTCCGGGGGACGGTGTCTGTGATCCAGGCAGAGGGAAGCCATTCCTCCAACGTTAGCCCCTGCTCCTGAAATTCATTCCTCTGAAAGTCACACACCAGGATAAATGCAAAAACAATGTTCTTAATGTCTGAAAGATATCTGCTTTAAGCCATTTTAACCAAAGTCATGTTTAAGCATGTCAGAGGACACTATTTCCATTTCAAACATTCGGCTGACAGACACTAAAAGGGTAACTTAACTGTAAAACACAAAATCAGTAATTTTCAATAACAAACCTTCCTCTTCTCCTTTGGTTTCTTCTTCTTTGGTAATGCACCCTCTTTGTCTGCTTTCTCTTTCTTCTTCTCCTTCTTTCCCTCCTTCTTCTTCTCCCCATCCTCCTCGGAGCTGCTGTTTTTCTTTTTCACTTTCACGCTCTTCTTGGGCGGCTCCAGGTTGATGCCGGCATCTGCTGTCCAGTCAGAGTAATCGCTGGAGTAATCGCTGCAAAAGAAAGGGCAAACTCATCACTGAAATGCTCTTCATGCATGAACAGAGCCTAAACAAAAATGTATATGTATACATACTTTCATGTTCTTTGAGGTTTTCACAGGTTTTCAGGTTAAATACAAAAAACCTTAAAACATTTTACTGCGATTTTATCTTAAATGTATTTTATTTTTTTATGTTAAGCAGACAGCCAACTATTTTCTTTTAACAGTCGTTTTTTTTCTGCCATTATAAAAAGTTGTGAAAGGAAAACTGAAACCAAAACAGTTAAGCTGACTTTATTTAAGAGTATCAGCATAAAGCGAGTAGAAATGTATTTTATTTGTACAGGTGGTGTCTTGGCAAAATGTTAAAATTGTTCAAGCTATTGCAGTTTTAGAACGGGCTCTATTAAGATATGAAGACACTAACCAGAGATATAAATAAATATATTTGTATAATAATAGTTTCTAACTTAAACATCTCAATTTCAGAGAAAAAAGTATCCTAATGACCCTAAAATTTAAATTCTTTTACTTTATCAGAGTTCAAACTGAAACTGTTAACAGATATTTTCAGCCATGTGTTTGTATAATTAGCTCAGTTTAAAAGATAAGCTCTTAGGGCCTGATCTTCAAAACCTTTAAAAAGACCTAAAAACGTGTTAGCACTTGCAAAGCTGCTCTTCAAACCAGGTACATATAGTGTGTGTGAAATAAACAGCAAAAGGAGCAGCAGCTTTTCAAGCCAGTGTGTAATGACGAATTTGCAGATCTTATGCTCATGACCAAAATATGCAAAGTTATGGGGAGGATATGAAAAATGCAAATACTTAATACCTGCAAATTATTCATCAAACATAAAACAGACTCTGGGTGATGTTTTGTGTCTAGAAACTGGTCCATAAAAATGTTTGCAGTCATTATGGTCAGAAGGGAGATATTGATTTAATGGTGGATGAGGGAAGGAGAATCTATATACATGTGAATATATTTGAAATGTCAGAAACAAAAGAAGAAGAATACTAGATGCAAGCATGAAACAAATTAATACAGCAGGATACAGAAAAACAATCATTAATGAATCCTAAGGGTGGGGTTTTCTGCACAAATAAAGTACTGCTCCATATATATATTTGTGAATTAGGCCCTTAAGATTGTTGGATTTTATTTTTGTTTAATTTAGCAAAAAAGTGTCATTTCATTTTTTCTGCATCCAGATGTCTGAAATTTTTACCTGTTTTCTGTAAATATAATATAAACTATCACTGAAAAACAATGATTCCCTTGAAAATATCAATCAGTATTGTAGGCATTCAAATACATTCACTAAGAGCCTGAAGGATGGTGAGAGGCAGCTTGACATAGGTCAAAGTTTAAAAGCACTGAGGGCAGGATTTAACCATCTCACTATAAAATAACTACATACAGCTCAGCAGACAGTGATGAAAAGAGGGAAACTTGTTACAAATATTTTATGTGGCCATTAAAAATGTGTCAGTTTGTGAAAATCTCAATGTCTCCCTTAGATACACACATGCAAATTTTTATTCCGATTATATCAAAGGGAAATCAATTAACCTGGAGCTGCTGTGCTCATCTGGCCAAGGCTCCTTTTCCTCTTCGTTCTTTTCATCCTCTGAGGAATACCCGTTAATTTGCCGAACCTCCACTTCTCCCTAAAACACAGAATATTTCACGTTAGTACATAAGAATACACAGAATTGGATATTATGCTGATGTAAGAAATCAAAAAGAAAACCCACTGCATCTACCTCTGAGGCACTATCATCGTCATCAGCAGCCTCTGCACTCTGACGACTCGTCTCCTCCATGGCAGCGCGGGTTTGATAGCCGTGGTTCCCCTGACTCTTCCTTCCCTCATCTACTGCACACTCTGATGTTGGCTGAACCTTCACACCGAATAAAGAAGGGAAAGGTTTAACAGAGGGTTTTGTTACAAGACAGAATAACAGGAAAAGAATTTGTGGAGGAAACAACCCCTGTAGATGAAACTCGTACCCTGCTCTCCTTTGGAAGCGAGTGGATTGTGCGTCTCCTCCTCTCTGACTGATAAATATTGATCTCCTCGTCTCCTTTGGCCTCACGCCAGGTCACCTGTCTCCTGCAAACATACAAAATAAAAAAAAACATACAAGATCAAAAAATTCTTAAACGAAATTTCTTCTGAAAACTTTGAAAACATTGATGTTGATAAAAAAAAAGGTTTTGTCTCTGAAAGTAGGTTTTACCTGACAAAGGCCTCCTCCAGCTCTGGAACCAGCACCCTGCGGCTCCATGCCACCAGGTCTCCCTCTGTGGCCATCTGGCTGCGGGGAGCATTGCTGTGCATCTGGCGAACGCCTTCAATCTGACCACTGCGCCGGAGACCAACATTGGGAGGGGAGTGTACTTCTGTGGGAGAACCAACAGATCCTAGAGAGAAGAAATATCAAGCATCCCGTTTCTGTTATGTTATGTTACAGTGTGGCATGGGAGCAGCACGGCACATAAGAGGAAGGACTAAGCACAGAGGGTTAGGACTGCGGAATGAATATTCCACTTCTAGGTTTGGTTTATCCTGCACAAGTCCAGAAATAGGCCAGGTGCATCACCACAGATCCATCAGGTAAAAAAATTCAGCAACATTACACCAAAAAGAAATAAACCCAGAAACAGTTTCTCTCCTAAAGCCATGAAGGCAATCATCCCCTGCAGGCAGACATTTAACATCCCTGCTGTAATCAAATCAACCTCCAGCCTTATTTCATAGACCGTTTCATCACAATCTGCACTTCATGTAATCACTACATGCCACACTTCATGTACAGATTGTTTGTTAAAAGTTCCCTCTAAGAATGCTTCATCTTTGTTTTTTATTCCCATCTGTATTACATATGCATTTTGAGTTGGTGTCTCAAGAGAATGTCATTATGGAATCAAGAACAATTAAGGGACTATATTGTCAGTGATTCCTGCAAACACCCATCTGGATCTATAATAGCTCTTTGTAGAAACTGGCATCATATCAACTACACCACCATTTCATTTAATTAATAAAAGTTTTTTTTTTTTTTTTTTTATTGGACTCACAATTTAAAGCTCTCTACTTTGCTCTTATTAAAAATCATATAAAGCGTTTAGGCTGTGTACAACAGTTGAACCCTCATAACCAGACCCCAGTAATATAGAATTAAAACTATGATCTTTCTCTACCTCTGTTTGCCCTGTTGTTTACTCCAGAAGCAGCGGCGTCATTTGTTCCCATCCTTTGGTCCTGCTCCTGCTGCAGCCTCTGAATCATGGTATCCAGAGGACTGGAGCCATCCACTGCCTGCTCACTTACTACCTGGTTCAGGCCTGACAGGAAGACGGGAATAAACAGAAAATGAGAAATATCAACAGAAAACTTGAAGAAAATCCACAGGGACAAGGTGGAAAGACAGAATATTTTTTTGTAGTATAGAATCCAGCAAAAATGAAGGCATCATTTAGACAGAGCATAAATAGACATTACATTAAATTCAATTTCAAAGCCATTCCCTACTGATTAGAGCCCGGTTCTTCAACGTTTTGCAGGCTAAGGACCCCCAAACTGATGGAGAGATGGGCGACGACTCCCCTAATTATATATTGTATATACTGTGTATATTATTGAAGTATTTCTGATTGTGATTCTTGGTTGATGGGACAGGTGTTGTGAATGAAACGGTGCCCAGCTTGAAAGAGCTCCTGTGAGTCGCTGAATGTGTGCATTGATGACTGAAAGACATCTGCCTCCATTTATCTGTTTACTACAGCGTGCTGAATTCATGTAAATGTGGATTTAAAGACATTTCAATTGGTGAAAAAAAATTGCAGGGGGGAACCCGGGGGGGACCCCCTAGGGGTCGTGGACCCCTGTTGAAGACCTCCAGATTAGAGCATTTAAAAAACAGCATCATTACCTTACGTCCAATGTTTACTACAGGAAGACAGTTAAGAGCTGGTTATACTCCTGCAGCAGTGTATCGCAGTGAGGCTGTCGCAGGTATGACGCAGATATTTTTAATTTATGCCCAATATTGAAGCGCGGTCTGCGCTACATTATTCTACGCCACAACGCAAGAGGGACAATCACGACCTAGCAGTGGGTCTAGATACAGCTGAGGCGCTGAGGAAGTGGGGGCAAGTTTGTGCGACAACTGAGGGACATGAGGATGAAAAAGAGCGGGATCCTGTCTTCGGCACAGTCTGCGGTCACCTACAATTTTGGAGAGGCGCACCAGAAGGGGGGGGGGGGGGGGGGG